TGAATATGCAATGTTTGGGATAGATTTTTTTTAAAGATCAGATCTTACTGGGTAACCCATGAGCTTGTGATCCTCTTGCCAGGGTCCCCCAAGTGTTACAATTATTGGTGTGAACCACCGCACCCAGTTTGGAATATGGATTTTAATAAAAAATAAAAAACCAGTCAAAATCCACCATTATATACAAAATATACTAAACCTTTCTGTGAAAAAGGTAGTCTAAAACTTCACAGGGAGTAGTGTTTCTATGGAAATCAATTGTATATAGACATATATTTTATGATAAACATGATGCTCTATGATTTCAGGCAGAAAGAATCAGGAAGGGAGCTGATACTTGGAAATTACAGGTTGAGTAGCTCCCCCAAGGTCACACAGCACAAGGGATCCAGAATCTGGATCCAGGGAATGTGGTTCTCATCTTTGGGTTGTAGTGCCTCATCATACACGGGCCCTTTAAAGCTATAGTCTGGAGTTTCTCACGGTCACCTAGCAATGGAACCATCCTGAGTATGTCACTTGGCACAGGTGGACCACAGCTTCCCCATCTTTGAAGTACGGGATTTCGTGGATGGTCAGACACGCGTGATTGCATTTCAGGAAGGGATTCACGAAGGGTAAGCTAGAAGAAGGCGGTTTTCATCAGCATCTGAGACACATGGATGAACTGGGGTTGAGTGAGTGTCAGGGCCCCAGGGCTTGCCCCTCTGAGCCCTGGGGTGAAACCCGAGGCATCTGAGATGCCCTGAGTGAACACTACAGAGGTTCAGGGGACCAGCTGCTCCCTAGTCACAGTAGGGATGCTTTCTGGTTTTCAATTCAGACAACAAACAACCAACATGAAAACAAAACAAACCAATAAAACTGCTCCCAACTTAACTATATTGTGTAACTTCTTTTTTTTTTTTTGTCTCACAGATTAAAAACACCACAATAGCATTCTTAATGAACCTTGGAATTCAACTTGAATTTGAGAAAGATCGCTTTAAGCCTAGAACGTTGGGCGAATAAAAAGAGGAAATGGGAGTTCTCAGGTAGCTTGAAGGGCCTTGGTGGTTGACAAAAGGAGCCGGGTCTGAGGTCTGGGTATAGGAAAGGTTTAAACACAGCCAGGCCTCGGGGACACTGGCGGGCTTCTCCTAGTCGGTGGTATGACCCGGAGAGAACAGTACCTAAGCCTTTGTCTCCTTCTCCCGGGAGATGATGAGGGACATCAATCCCACATCCCTCAGGGCGTCACTGCATGAATGCACCCTTGAGCAACAAGCTGTCGAATGGTATTGGAGTGCTCTCATGCTCTAGAAGGTTCCATGGCATATTTCAAAGCCTCTTCAGGCCTGGGTAGACACTCCCCACATTTCAAGGAGGAATAGAGTCTCTGAGAGGAGGAGGCATGCTCTAGATGCACAAGGCTGCACGCGGCAGCTCAGTGGGAGCCAGGAGTCCCAATCTGGGCCGAGCTATTGGCTGCCTGTGTGACCATGAGATACATGACCTCTCTCTCTCTCTCTCTCTCTCTCTCTCTCTCTCTCGTTTTCTGTTTCCCTGTCTACATTATGCAGGGGAGGAGAAGGAAGGACAGGGAGTTCCTTCTAGCCCTGTTACTCAGCATTAAGCTCTGCTAATCTCCTCCAAGCCCCCAAGTCATTTTGACCGCTCAGGGAGCCTCTTGCACTCTCTCTCAACCCTGAATTGCTTTCTCGCCTTGTGCTGAGTCCCCTGCCTGGGCTGGCATGGAGGCGCTCCTCTCATTCTGCTTCTTTAGATTCAGTCATTTGGATGACAATTTCTTCCGCATGACCGTGAGCTTCCTGAGGAAGACCCGGCCATGCTCACTGGTCCTTAGATCCTTTCAGAGAAGAGTGTGCTGCCTTGTGAACCCGCAAGACTCAAGAGCAGAAATGCTCTACAGAAGGGAAAATGGTGTATTGCTAAATATGGCCTACGTGTGCGCTCCCTGCATGGTGGCCCCACCTTTCCTTCTACCAGACTGTCTCTGCTTGTGCAAGGCCAAGAGACAGAAAGCCAGTGAGGGTAATGTTTGTCTCTTTGGAACCTGTAGTTTATTTCATCCATGTCACCTTACATATTCGGGACCCTCTGGGGCTTCCTCCGGACTCTCTCAATGGATGGAAAGGCCAGTCTACCAAAACGAGGCATCTCCTCGCTTCACAGTGGAGAACCAAATGCCAAAGGCTTGTCCTCCCGAGACGGTTGGATTTCCAGTTGTGATGGCCTATGGGAGGTCTTCCCGGGGAAGCAATGGCTCACTTCCCCTCTGAGGTGGTTGACAATATCAGCTGAACGGCTGGATGCTTTTCTGGGACAGCAGGAACCTACGGCCTCTCGGCGACCTCCATTTCCTCTCTCTGAATCTGACATGTTGCAAGGGTAGAGACTCTCAGCTTTATTTCCGAAGCCCTGGGAGTCAGGGCCTGACATGGTGCAGATGCTCAGCGAACATTCATGGAGCGAATGAAGGCCCTCACAGCGTAGCTTCTGTGTGCCGCAGAGGACGAACAAACTCATTTTGCTCTATATTATGCTTCAAACAATGTATGAGGTATGGTCTCCCGCAACTGGGGATTTTCTGGTTGTTCTTTTTTGCTTTGTGCTGGCTCATTGCTCAGAGCAACTGGAGAAGGCTCCATTTCCCCAGGGTCTGGATCATTTCCTATAACATGGGGTTCGGGGCTACTGTGGGCACAGGTTCTCTGGGAAAACTGGACATTTCAGTGTTGGCTGTCTCCGAAGCATGGCAACCAGGTGTCTACTCTGGTGTTCTTGCATGTGTGTGTATATGGGGGGGGGCTATATGTTTTCTGAACATCTCAAAGACCCTTAGTTCCTCAGATGTCCAGATGTTCCACAGCTGTGTGAAAGCTTGGGCCAAGATCCTGGACTCTGGGGAAGGGATTGATTTCCCAGTATGACTTCTCTCCTTTTTCCTAATTTTCCATGAATGTTACTGTTTATCACTGGCCTTGTGGCCACACAGGCAAGATGCAGCAGGATGCTGAGGGCATCGTATAGAGACAACAGAAGCTGATCTCTTTTCCACAGAGTCAGAGTGCTCTTTCTCGTACTTGAAGACAAGGATCCTCGATACCCTTCTTCACTTTGCCCTGCCTTTTTCTATGTGGTCTCTTGAGAACAAAATGCCCCTCCCCCACATAAAACCCCTTCCTGCTCTGATATCACCTTCCTGATAAATGCTTTCCCAGACCCACAACTAATACATAACCCTGCAACGACACTTAGAGCAATCCGTTAACACTCAACCTTGGTGCTTCCTCCCTCCTCCGGGTTTCTGGAGGATGCACAGGACTTTAGCATCTCCGTGTGTGGTGTAGACATGGTCCTCCAAGAGAGATGCTGAATGTTTGGGCAACTGAATAATGGATGACCTCTCCAGGTTTCAGCTGAATTAAGGGGCATAGCAACACGATGGGATTCCAGGCAGATACACATCCCTGCTCAGATGCCATCAAGGCCCAGCCCATGAGCACCTTGCTTCTAATTCTTCTCATAGCTGTTGTCTGGGGTTATCTGCAAGACTGCTTTCTGGGTTTGAGCAAGGGAAAGGACGGCTCTAGGGCAGTCTGGACAAACACCAAGGCTCTAAAGCAATATTTCTAGGATTCCAGAGCCAACCTGACCAGTTGAATTAGAGTGATCACAATGTTGCACACTTGGCCTTTCGATCCTCATGGGGTTTGAGATTGTAGAACCCTGTAGGTAGGAAATTTCCAGAAGGGAGGACACCATGTTCCTAGTTCTCCAGTTTCTAACATTGTTCAGAACACGGGGAAGTCTCTCAGTTTAAATCAAAGAGAGCTGCTTAAGTGTGTCAGCTGCCAGCATTAGAAAGAAATTTTCTTTGCTTTTGTATCTGTCTTCTTTATTTTTCCAGTAACTCCCTGTGGTTCGTAGAAGCAGGTTCTACCACGTGGGAATGTGGAGTATATTATGGAGAATATTATGCAAGTTTACACCATAGAGAAATGGAAGCTAATTTATGGCTAATATAAAGACTTGAATAACCTTGATGGGCAAACTGCCTCATGGTGTGGGAAGTCCTTCTGTTGCTTTTATTGGTTAATGAGTAAAGAAGCTGATTTGGCCTGTGATAGGGCAAAGTAGAGCTAGGCGGGAAACCTAAATTGAATGCTGGGAGAAAGAAGGGGGAGTCAGTGAGATGCCATGTAGCTGTCAGAGGAGACAGACGTGCCCCAGAACTTTACATGTAAATCACAAGCCTCATGGTAAAATATAAAATAATAGAAATGGGTTGCTTAATCTAAGACATAAGAGCTAGCTAGCAACATGCTTAAGTGGTTAGCCAACCAGTGTTTTAATTAATACAGCTTTGTGTTATTATTTTGGGTCTGAGCAGCTGGGAACAAATGAGCAGCCTCTGTCAACAGCCTCATTTTATATTTTGGGAGAGTAAAGTTCAGGGACACCCAGTACCCAGGTGGGGTTAAGATCCAAGTTTTAATTAAAATGGGTTTTCACCCTGAGTTAATATTCCATAAGGCTAAGCCCTCTTCCCTTGGGTTTTGGCTGTCCAGCACTTGGGAAGAAAGCAAAGGCAGATGTTATTACAAACCTATATGTTTCAGAGAGTGTGAGGGGAAAGTGTTTCTTGGTGTTCCTGAGAGGGTTACCTTCAGAATCAGAGGCGACACCTTAATCCAAGTGAGTGAACTTCCTTCCCCGGAGGAACATCCTTCACAGTTTCTGGGATACGGAAGAGGGTTGCTTCTGCAAGCCCAGGCCAGGTAACCATTCCACCACAAGGCTAACTGAGAATGCTTCTCCTTGTCTTCTCTCCATTGGCTAATAGATGCCAGTTCTATTTACCTTCACTCATTTCAATGAGTCAAACTATACTAACAATAGCACTCATTCCTCAGGCCACCCACATGATCTCCTGTGTCCCAAAGTCCCCTCACTGAGGATTAAAATGTTGGTTTCCTGCTAACCCAGACCCCTACCTCCATCGTTGTCTTTGCTGTCCCCACAGGCGGTTTCCATGGACGTGTCACATCCAGCTCCTCTCCAGCCCAGCTGGCAGACACAGTGCCACCCATTCAGGTCCAGGGTACATCTACCATTTCCATTGCACAAGCCAGGACAGCCCTCTGTAAGACAAGGCAGGGAGTCAAGGGCTGGGTAGAAGTTATTATAATACATGCTATTACCATGGCAACTGTTACCCCTGCACTCTGCACTCATGCTGTACCAGCTGCCTAGACGATGCTTTCACATCTCTCTGTCTCAGCAGCTGGGGAGGCAGGGACCACAGCGACTCTCCACTTTACAGAGAAGACAGCAGAGACTTGGAGAAGTAAGGACTCTTACTGAGGGGGTCTGGAACCCTCAGCATCTCCACCCCCCCCCCCCCCATTACACAAGCGATCAGGATTTGGAGCTGCAGTCAGAGGATCAAGTCTGCCAGGGCCTGACTAGGGAGGTCTTCCACCCATCCTCAATCCTGTGCTTGGTCATCTTGGCTCTTGGCCTTTAACTCATAGAGGTTCCCCTGCCTCTGCCTCCTGGGTGCTGGGATTGAAGGTGTTCTGTAACACTTGGCCTAGAGATGTGATTTTCCCCCAGTTCTTGCAACTAGGTCAACGCTAGTGGGCTTTAGGCTTTTTGTTTATTGGCTCCCCTTTTCTCCTAGACAACAGTTTTTGCTTCGAGAATGAGGGCTTTATACCAGGGGAGCCCAGGAGACTGTCACGACATAGGCGAACTCCTGCTGGTCTCAAGTACAAAGGAAGATCCAAGCAGTGCTAGCTGCTCAGATGTGTATCTCCACACCCGTCCCTTGTTACGCATCTTATTTGGGTTAGCTACAGGCACAGAGATGAAAAATACCTAGCTGTATTCTTGAGAAGCAGGCATCCTACCAAAGTGCCTCGACGGAGACCTAAACTACACAGCGGGAACTAGGAACAGCTATGGCCATCTGAGCAGGCATGGGTGACCTAATAAAAAGATCAGGACAATGCTTGGACCCCATTACTTCTGCTCTGACCCCATGATGAGGTGGGGACTTTTAGTAATAGTCAAGGAGGCCTACAGGTTTTGATTGCTGCCCTTTTCAAGCCTGGTTTGTGGCTCAGAAGGCAAAAGCTATCGCTGTACAAGACCGATGACCTGAGTTTGAGTCTAGGAACCCAGGGTGGAAAGAGAAAACTGATTCCTAAAGATTGTCCTCTGACCTCCGCACCTGCGTCAAGTTACATACAGTCGAGTCCCACATGCTTTTGTGTGTGTGAGAGACACATACACATTTCAAAAAGGAAGGGACTTGTGCTTAAGAAAACATTAGGTTTCATAGCTCACTTTCGCTTCTATTCTTTCATCCAAATTCTTTTTGTTTCTATTCTTTCTCTTGTGTCCTTATTTCCATAATGGCCAGCCCTCTTCTCTGAGTGACTATCAACTCAAACTATGCTGTTCATGGCGTCTCTACTTCCTCTCCTCTGCTCCAGCCTCCAGGGAAGGAATGAGTTACACTAGTTTACTGTGATGAGCCTCAAACACCTGCCCATTTGGCTGTAAACTGAACATTCTGCTGCGAAAACACAAAACCATGGAAAATAAACCTATTACCACTTGGGGGGTTGTTGCCATTTTCATTTTCTTTTCTTTCTCTTTCCTTTCTACCTTCCTCCCTTGCTCCCTTCCTTTCTTTTTGGCGACAGGGTCCTACGTAGCCCACATTGACTTCACACTTGCTATGCAGTTGCAGACGGCCCTGAACTTCTGATCATACTGATTCTGCCTCCCAAGTACTGGGATTGCAGGTGTGCACCACCACGTCTGCTTATGTGGCGGTGGTGATTAAAGCCCAGGTTTCATGAACGCTGAGTGAGCACTCTGTTAGCTGGGCTCCGTGACTCATTATTTTTAAAGGGACAACAGACCTGGCACATATAAACATTCAGGGAGTAGCTGATAGGTCAGAATCTGAGACTAGTATTTCAAGGACTTAAAAAATGCATATTAAAATTAGCATGCAAAGATTAGATACCATTATGGCTCAAGGGCTTTGGATAGTTGACTCTTATTCCAACAAAAATCAGAAGTTCACTTCCTCTTGAGATGGTCCATGCAGACACCAGCCAAGCAATGCAACCACTGTCCTTTCCACTCAAAGGAAGAAACACTGGTTGCATGTGGGGAATCCAGTGGGGATCACACAGAAAGCTTGGTAGAAAATGTAGAGAATGTGTGGGAGGCTAGCCTCAAAACTGATCAAGGAGAAAAGCTGTAAAACTGGGTGCTGGGAGCAGGGGGTGACATGCGGGTGACGGATCTGTGTTCTGACTAAGCCACCATGGTCAGTCACCCAGAGTGATCTCAGCAAGCAGAGCCTCTCCTGTCTTTCAATTAGGCTCAAGTTTTCGTCCATCTACCCAGGGACTGCTTTTAATTAAACTATTCATCCTGGGGTTAATCTTAGAGGGAGAAGGTGAAAGCTTTAACAATATTAAGATACTCTTTTATTTTGCCGTGATACAGCATCTCATAAGATGCAGAAAGGACCTTTTGTGAGCACCAGCTTAGGAGCCACACCAAAGGCCAGCTCTGTGACTCTGTGGCCAGGGGACCCGGCCATGTTATTAAATATTTTTGAACCCCAATGTTCTTAATTATAACATAGGGGAATTAGGAAGGCTCAACAATCTGGCACTGTGATCCCAAAGCAGGCACAGGCTATCCATGAGTCATGAGCACAACGTGTTCTAATAAACTTGATTATTAACAAAAATCTATGACGAGGTAGACTTGATCTGTGGGCTATGTATTTCTGGTAGATGCCTCAGGACAGCAAGGACAATGACAACTGCCATGTACTCGGGGTCCTACCACGGATAGCCCCTGGGCTAGGTACTTTGCACAGATTGTTCCTCAAAGGGGAGACTTTTCGGGGCTGGAGAAATGGCTCAGTGCATAAAACACTTGCTGTGTAGATGTGAGGTCTTGAGTTTGGATCCCTAGAATCCACACTGGGCCAGGTACGGTAATTTCATTGTGTCTATTTAGAGCTGGGCGGGTGAGACAGGAGAATCCCCAGGTTCTCAAGGGCCAGCTAGCTTGGTGCATACTGTGGTGAACGAGAGACTCTGCTCCAAATAAGGTGGATGGTGAGGACCAACACCTGAGGCTATCCTCCGGCCTCTGCAAGCATGTTGTAACTTGCATGCAACCACATTCATACACAAAACCTGGCTGTGTGTGTATGTGTGTGAGAGAGAACACCACACTTTTAAAAAATAATTTTCCAGATTTTCATTTTCCAGATTTTCAGAGACGTTCCAATTTTACACCATTAGTCTTAAGTTTTTAATTGAAAAAACAAATATGTTTTGTAGTTATGGGGACACTGAAGCTTGCCAAACTTAAACTCAGGTTTTTTGTTTTTTTTGAGACAGGGTTTCTCTGTGTAGCTTTGGATACTGTCCTAGAACTTGCTCTGTAGACCAGGCTGGCCCCGAACTCACAGAGATCTGCCTGCCATTGCCTCCTGAGTGCTGGGTTTAAAGGAGTGCACCACCACCGCTCGGCATTAACTCAGATCTTAGCACGGTCATTGGACTTTCTGTTCATGGGAAGATTATCACATTAACTCTGAACTTCAGTTTTCGTATCTGTAGGTATGAAAGAGGCACTGAGAAGATTAAATGGAATGGTTTATGCCGGTACTCAGCCCAGTAAGCATGGGAGCTGACAATACAAGGGGCATTTACTATATAAGGGCCGTTAATACTGGATTGGATTTTAGCTTTGTGTAACTTTACTACGAGCTGCACTCGCGGGAAAGTAACCCTCTGCTGCTCAAGCTGTGCCATTGTTTAGGTCTCACAAATACTAACTTCTCTGAAGTGAAGGGGCACCCTAGCGATGGAACTCTGGGGTCACTATGCCATGCAATTGGCATTGGTGTAACACGGGCAGTGCCACGAGTCCCAGTCCATTCTATTATCACCTCAAACTTCCATAGCTGGCTGTCCTTCTGGTGACAGCCACTCTGGCTATTGGTTAATTTCGCAATAGTTCAATGGTCTCATTCCCTCTGTTAGAATGCAGACTCCATAAAGGCATCAGGGCTTCACGGGTGCCTTCACACAGTAGGCACTTACCACACACTTGCTCAAATGAACCAACAGATCAGAGAGAAATGGATTCTGCTTCTTCCCTTCTGACTGATAAGGGTTGAGAAAGTTACCTCCCCTGTCTTGGTCTCGGTTTCCTGATGTATAACATGAATAACCCATTAGGCACTTCTAGCAAAACTGACCAATGAAGAAGGACAGAATATCAGACTCCATCAATCGATTTATAAGCTCAACACGTTTTATGCATCACCTACTGGGTGATAGACTTCGTGTTAATAGATGGGTGGAGGGAGATATCTTTTGCCTGCATTTTCCTGGAAGGATTTAAACTTAAATTTATTTATTTATTTATTTTGAAATGGTTTTATTAAGCGGCCTAGGCTGGCCTTGAGCTTGTGATCCTCCTCCTAACTCAGCCTTCAAAGCCCTGAGATAATAAATTTGTCACTCACATCTGTTGGGGCTTAAACACTCATTCTCATAGGGAACTCTGTGAGGGACTGGTGGTAAGGGGTCTCTAAAGAGAAGCTACAGGGGCTGGGTGTGGGGATCAGTGGGTAGACTGCTCGCCTAGCGTGCATGAAGCCCTTAGTTTGGTTCCCAGGAATGTGTGTGTGTGTGTCTGTGTGTGTGTGTCTGTGTGTGTGTGT